ATTTTATCTAGATATGTCTGTGGGCCCCCGCATCACTCCCTACCCACTCCTTTCAACTGGGCACTCCAAACCACGGGAGAATCGGTAAAAATTTTTAACTCCCTCTGAACAACTTCATTTGACGAACTGATGAGCGTATCGAAGCTGAGGCATTCATTATTCAAATTGTACTTCAGCCCTTCCGTCTTAATTATACACTTGCCGCCAATGGGTAAAATGCCACAGCCTTTGCAAAAGACGTCCGGACTTACGTGTATAATGTGACTTCCTCTCTGGAGCAGAAAGAGGAAGTTATTCTCCCCAATTAAATACAGACTATTTAGGGAAGCATTTTTGTATAGGCATGAAATATTTGCACACGTGTGATCAAACCGATTTCCAGTGGCGCCTAAAATTAATATTTTATCATTCTTGCGGATGTGTCCTCGTATCACGTCGATGCATTTATCAAGGTCTGTATTTTCCTGGTTTTCGCACTTCTCGAATATGACTGACTTGTTTTTGTAGTAGCTGTACACGTGTGCGTTTATGCTATCAAAGTCGCCGCAAATTATGTGGGGCACTATTTCGGTAGGGCATTTCAGCGCCTTTTCCGTCTTTTCCACTTGCATGTTGAATAAATCAGCGATGGTGCGTCGTCCATGCACGTGCTGCGTACGCTCATTTGAGTGTCTTGCATACAACGCTGTGTTTTTGTCGTCCTCCCGTTTGAATGAACTTTTCTTATCACTTGCGCCTCTCTCCGTGGCTAACGACTGACACCAGTTGTACAGCCTGTTGGCTCCCCCATCGGCGCATATTAATATATCCGAGTTGGCAATAATTTTGGCCGAATGGGCGCAAATGCTGTTGTTCAGGATGATGGTTATTATTTTTGCCTGGGGGGGGGATTCTGTTCTGTCCTCCCCTGGGGTGGACTCTTTGCCCCACTTCCTTTCATCATTTAGCAAAATGCATTTCATAAAATCAAGATCATGCACAATAAGGTTTCCTTCCTTTGAGCTCCTCATGCAGCTGAAGTGGGATGAACGTAGCTCTTTCGTGTCCCCTGATGGGCTGTACCACCTTGCCCTTATGTTTGCAAATATTCTCGCGCGATTGGTCTGGTCGATCGCCCTGGCATTACCGCTTAGGTGCACACTGACTTTCGCGCACACGTTGAAGAAACTCCTTTTCATTTTTATGCGGAAAGGGAAAGAAGCCTCCCTCTCGCAGGGGTGCAACGAACAAACGGGGGAAATACGACGGGATGGTGGCGCGACTGCCTTTGAAACTGCCCTATTTTTTTAACCGCTCTATTTTTCAAACCTCCCTATTTTTTTTTTTTCCAAAAATCTGCAACCTTTGTGAGGTGGTAAAGTGGGTGGAAGTAGTGTACCCATTTCTTCCTCGTGTGTTAATTTTTTTTTTCCTAAAAAATTGAGTAGGAATATTCCTATGGTTCCATTTTGGCGCCCCGACTGTTTGAGCAGCTCGACGTTGCTGTAACTATTTGCGCAGAATGGTGGACCGCGTACGAACAAATCTTTTCTCCGCTCGGAGGTTCTCACGAATGTGTATTCGTTTTTCCTTTGCGAAGTTTCTTTTTTTTTTTTTTTTTGATTGAACATAACGCACAAAAATGTGGCTGCTACTCCCGAAGAGTGTCACAGGGGTGTTCTTTTCTCATTGATTTAATAGTTGACCATGTGGGACGCATACCCAACTTGCGTGATTAGCAAATGTAACAACTGGACAGCTCGTAATGGAGTCTTTTTTTTTTTTTTTTTCACATACCGATGAGTTGCTCTCATCCCCCCCCTCTTTACGAAATTGCTAAGAAGTTTGACAGCCACCCATGTGGAAGGTATGCCACGCGAGAAGGATTTTCCAGATGATAGCCAGGACGCATGCACATTTTTCCTGTTACTCCTCCTTGTGGCAACCTGTAACTGCGCGCTGTCTCTTCTTCAAGCGGAAATGAAATTAAAATGGTTCCCAAAGGGAGGTGATTAAAGAACATCGCGTCGGTGTTGACTCATCGAAAGGGGGTGTTTTTTTTTTTTTTTCCCCATTTCTCCACGTCTTCACCCTCCCTTTCATCGATACTTCAAAAGGATACAATTGGGTTTTGTTTTACGTCACAAAGTACGTTATGCATGCAGACATGGGACTATGCGCAAAAAGAGGACGGAGGAAGAAGCGGGCTTGGTAATTTAGCCCCTCACATGGGTTGACTAGTGAGACATATGAGTGATGACACTGCATTTGTCTGCTCCCCCGTTTGCCTCTACAGCCTCGATGCGGAATAATTCGAATGAACTCCTTTTTGCGTGATGAGATCATCCCGGCTGTTCACAACGCGGAGCAGTTTATGCGGTTAAAAAAGGGGCAGTCTGACATGGCTGATGTGGAAATATGCTATTATACCGATTTTCTCGGTTGGCCTCTTGGTAACTAATTTTTCCCTTTTTAAAGTGGTCCCCTTTTTTGGTTTCTTTTTATCTTTGGATACGGGCGAAGGGGCGCAAGCCAAGTGTTTCGCGATTTGGAGTCTCCAGTTGACCCTTCTTGTGACCTGCACTCTGTGCAGTTTGCTGCGTCAGTTTGTTGGGCCACTCTGCTGGGCCACTCCTTTGTAGAAGCTTTTCCCCACTCAGAGTTCCTTCTCTAGTGCCTTCGTCCGGCTTCCCCTTAGCCGGCACGAGTACAAAGAAGCGTAACACAGCATATGTATCAGCCGTCGATCAGCGAAGGAACAAATGTTACGTGTGCCACTTATGCAGCGGCCACCGCTGATCGTTCATACTCAGCTTATTTTTTTTTCCCCCCTCCGTGTGTGTCCCCGCCGTTTTTCCCGCAGATGGCATGAAAAAAATGATTTTTTTTTAAATCACAAAAAGGAGAAGAGGAAAAATATAACTGCACATGTACGGATAATTTTTCCATACACATGCGTACACATGAGGTGAAGGAGCGGGTCAGAGAAAAAGGATGCGCAGGGGGAAGCGACGTCACTTGGTGGGAAAAAAAAGGATGAAAAGGGGCCGCCGAAGGGGTAGAGAGAGTGGACCATCAAATGGAGCACGGGAGGAAGAAAAAGGTGAAGTAAAACAGAATATAGAACAGTGGCGGAAGAAAGAGTTCAAAAGGAGGAGGAAAAAAAAAAAAAAAAAGAAAAAAAAATCAAATGGAGCGAAAGTCCAAAATGGGATGAGCGGAACTATAAGGGCCAGTGCAGGCTCCATCATCATAGCGTTTTTTTTTAATGCGAAAAATAATCCTTCTCGCACAGTACAGTTTAGAAAAATCTGGTTGCCCCTTTTGACGTGTATATTATATGCAATCCTTCATGGGGACAAAATTGACCACTGCTTCTGTGTGAGGATGCCTCAACCGGCGGAACGTCCTGTTTTGCAGTTTGCCTTGCTGTGCGACCACGATGATGTCATGTCACTGATCGGGTCAACTACGCAGTGGTGTCATTAGTGAACCGTTCGATTGCTTAACTGTGCCGCTGGTCCACTGTGCCCACTGGTCAACGGCTCACCTTCAACAAACCGCACGTTCCCATTGCACATTATTTATTTTTTTTTATTTTCACAGGCAAGCTAAAGCCATTGCGCCCATCTGGATGAAGAATATGGCCCAATAACTTACGCTTACTTTTATGCTTCCCTTTTTTCCGTTCCTTCTTTCATTCCTTTTTCCGTTTTTGCATTTTTACTTATGTACCATTAGCATGCTGCCCAGTCCACATATGAGCATCGTAATGTGGACGAGTTAGTCCTTTTTGCCTTTTCTTTAAAGCATTCAAAAATCAGGACGTGCTTTCCTGCGCGATGGCGAATAGCCCCACAGGAGCGGAGACCAAGTAGTCCCTTTTTCCGTCCCCCCAGTTTTCGCCTTTTTTTCGCCTTTTTTTCAGTTTTTTACTTCCTTTCCCCCGCCAGTTTTTGCCTTTTTTTTCCCCCTTCCCCCCATTCTTGTTTCTATCCTTTGTTCACTCCCCTTCGTCGCCACCTTTGTGCCGCTATCAAATAAAAGGGCATCCCCAGTGGCCAATACTTCTGCTGCGCGTGTGGCATGTCAGCTGCGCAAAGGCAAGCGCCTGCAGCTGCTTAAAAGTTAGTGCGCCTCCGTTTCTACGTACGTGCGCGGATGCCTCCACCCCTCCCCACTGCTTCGTACAAACATAGGTACATACGTCCATACGTCCATACGTACATGCGTACATCCGCTCATCCGCACGCCCCTTTGTCTACTCATCAGCGAAAGTGTTTATCCAACCCTTTTCCGTTTATGTGTCCCCCTGTGTAATGAATAACCAGGCGACCTGTGCACTGAACACCGTCACGGACATCGCGTCCGAATGAAAAACGATTGTACTCATTTGGACTTTGCCAGTGAACATTCGACGCGCGCGTGTGGCGATGCCGATGTAGCTAAATGGCAAGCGGAGCCATCCCCCTTCTTTGCGCATCGCCATTTTTTGCTCCCCCATGCACGTGCCGCCGTTAAGGCGACGAAACGGAAACGAGCAAACGGGCAAAGAAGCAATCGGGTCAGTGTACACAAATGTACACATGCCCCCCCACACGTGCAAATGTCCTTCTCGGCCGACACAGTGCCGTCGGGAACATCTCCTTAGATACGCCCCCCACGCGCCCTCTTCATCGAAACATCCTTTTGTGTAAAAAAAACCTCCGTTCCCAATTGTATAACCATTTTTGTTTCAGCGCGGAAGTGGTTAACCCTCCCCCCCCGGTGTCCACATGCCCACGTGCCGTCTACGTATACACATGAGCATAGCTAAATGTGTGTAACGACTTGTCTGTAACGGCGTGGATACAGCTTCCCCTGCTTACCCCTTCTGAATTTTCCTGCCTACCTATTGTTGCCTGCGCCCGTACCTCCTTTTTGAACCAATCTAGATACTCTCCGAGGGGTAACAACTCGCCCGCGCAGAAACTGCCCTCAGCATAACGTCCCTTCCTAAAAACCACGTGAACGGTGAAACGGCGAGACACCACCATGGGTACCTCGGACTTAAATTTTTATATTAACAAGCATCGAAAGGCCTATGAAGAGCGGCTGAAGAAGGAGCAGCAGAACCATCAGGGAAAAACCTCTAAGGGGGAGGCGGAAGGAGGAGCACAGAAGGTCGCCCCGAGTGAAGTAACCAAGGGAGGTGCTAATGAACAGTCCAATGAAGCCGACAATGGAATCAAAAATCTAAATGAGGGATATAATCAGCATGCTAATCAGAACGACGACACTACGAGAAACTCCACGAGGGACGAAAATATGAATCAAGGTAAGCTCATTTGAGAACAGAGAAACGACGGGGAAGGAGCGTGCCTCGTGAGTTTGCGCGAGGGTTCAACATATGATATGCACGCCTGCGTACAGCAGCACAGAGTTGGTCGTTCCGATGGAGGGACCTCCATTTGGTCAATTCATGCCACTAATTTTTTTTTTTCTTCTTCTTCTTTTTCTTCTTCTCTCGTGTTCCCTTTCCAGTTGATGCTGACTACCTGTTGGCCCTGAAGCTGAATGAGGCCTTGAATGGATCCATTGAATCGCCCAGCCTGGGGAACGAAAATCACTTCAGCAGTGGAAGCCACGCGAGGAGTGCAGAGAGGGACGAAGATGCGGAGAGGAGCGCCGATGCAGAGATGAATGAAGTTCAAGAAGACGATGTTAGGAAACCAGACAACTCCTATGTCGAATGCCTCCTGGGGGATAATAGCTACGTGCCGTTTTGTCTAAATTACAACGTAGGGAATGGCAATATGATTCAGAACCCACTGCCTCCCAGTGGAAGGAATAGGATTAGTGGCTACTACGTGGACCATGACGACGGAGGTATTATGTACGGGCCTTACAATCTTCGTAGCAGGAACAATCGAGTGAATGAATTCCAGAATGGATTCCAGAATCGCAATCAGAGGAGCGGCAACAGTGATGGGTTCTACTCATCCCATTTTAACAGCGCAAATGAGCCGATTAATATTTCTCTAAGCTCAGATGATGAGGAAGGAGAAGTTCAAATAGAAAATGCAGCGGCGAAAAGTTCCTTGTCGCAGGACGATGGGATAGGAAGTAGTAGCGACGTTTTCTATCTTCCTGATGAGAATTTATCCTTGACGCCAAGGCAGAATAAGCCAAATGGGCAGAGTACTCTGGGTTTACCATTTTCCACCCGAGGGGAAGACTCAAAGGAAGAAGTAACCATCGTTGAGGGGCTGAGAGAGGGACGCTTTTCCGACAAGGGGAGGGGGGCCTACCATCATGAGGAGGGGAACCCCGATCTGTCTATTCAGGCACATAAAGGGGAAGAGATCCCCAGGATGATGCGAAGTGCAGAAGGGGTAGAACCTCCAAATAGTTTCTCCTTCCAATCTGTAGAGGGACCAGGTGGTGGAAGCCCACGAACCGGACATTATAACATGGGTGAAGCGGATCTTGCATCCCCCAAATGCACAGTGGAGAAGTCAGTCCTTGGTCTGTGCGATGTCTATAATGATCACTTTGGTCTCAGCAGTATAGAGACATTTCAGCCTGTCCGAAGTGCAGCCACAGAGATGGGAGACCCACTCAGGGATGGACACAACCCCAGCGGAAATAACCCAGTTAGGAGGAACTACGTACATGCGTCCCCGTGGGATGATTACTCACAAGAGGGAAGATACTACGTGCACTACGAACCGTTGAATCTAAATGGAAAAGAAAAGAAGAAAAATAAAGCGACCTATGAAGGTCTACACAATGTGGATGCATACGGTGAGAGGGTGGGTAACGGGTTAGTGGTCCCCTCAAGGGGAAGGAAGCCTAACGGGGAAGGAGCAGCAGAAAAAGAAGTAGGAGAAGCAGAACCAGGAGACGCAGGAAGAGCAGAAAATGCTAAAGGAGAATACTACAAGCAACTCGCGCACTACGGTAATGACGTGATCCCCCTGGAAGGAGAATACCCGATTGGTGGTGCCCCGTCTTCATATAAGGCGAGGGCGAAGAAGAGCAGAAGGGATGTCAAGGATATCACCCATGTGGAGAGCATCCATAGCGATGAAGGGTTGTCTCCTCGGATAGCCCAACAGGATGATGCATCTAAGATGGCCCACACTCTTAAATCCTCGAGAAAACACCCCCCGAAAGAAAAAATAGAAGATCCACATTTCTCCAAAGGGGAGAGTTACAAGGCACAAAATGGAGGTGGGGTTGAGGGGGTCCCCGAGGATGGCCTTGTTCTCTTCAAGACAGGTCTGGGAACGAGGTTCGAGCCATATGAGAGGAACGACCCCACCATGGGTGTATGTAAAAGTGGAGGATACCCAAAGAACGACATGTCCTATGCAGACATGGGTCGGGACATCACGCAAGGTGAGCCTTCCCCCTTTAATATGCTCCATTTGGGGAAGGAAAATCCTATGGAGAGAAATATAAACGATTATGTTGCGAATAATCCTCTGATGGACATGGATGATAGCGAACAGGTATTTGCAGAAATGGCTAGAAGGTGTGCATCTGCTGAAAAAAGCAATCGTCTCCCCTTTGAGTCGCTGCACAATGGGGTGGGAGTCCCCACTGTTGGGGCAATCGGAACGGAGGGGGGTCTCCACTCCAGAACGAACGGACAAGCAAAACTGTTTAGCGGCGGAGACTTTAAGCCAAACGGGAGGGCCTTCACAGTCAGCCATGTCGGGGATCACATAAATGCAGATATGTTACACTGCTCAGATGTAGAGTTCACTGAAGGAGCTACCCACAGGTTGCCTAATTATGTAGACGAGGGGAAGAACTGGTCTGATGGTACTCCCCTAGAACCATCGAGTGTGCTACGTGGTGTCCATTTCGCCGGGGAAGTGTCATCATCATCCCGCATGGTGGAAGAACAACCCCTCTGTGGTGAAAACAACCAACACGATGAGGTTCTCCTGTGGAGCCGCCACGGTGCAGGTAGCTACAAAATGTTCGCAATAAATAGAGGAGCTAATTACCAAGGCCGACCAGAAGAGAAGAGCAAAAATGAGGGTCACCACACAGATGTGAAGAAGGACAGCACGCTAAACCGATTCAATGGGACAAGCGACAATAAATTTTTTACAAGTCGGAGGAGCCCTTTTTTTTGCACTTTGGGAGAAGCCCAAGGAGGGGCAACACCGGACGTGTACGTGATTGAAGAAGGCACAGGAGCTGGTGAGCCACATTCGACTCATGAACAAAACGTCCAGCCACATCCCTTGGAAGTTTATCACCAAGGGGGGATACTCAACGGGAAAGTAAAACACATTGGTGATATGAGGGGAGAAAGCGCAGGTTCAGTTAACGCGGAAGAGACACAGATGGAGCAGGTGCAAGAAGGACGTGCTGTAAACTCACGTGGAGATGATGCGCATCCAAACCGTGACATTTCCGATCAGACCTACCGAAGAGGGATGGGTTATGACCACACCATTTCTGCCATTGACCAGTTTGATGAGCAGAGCGCCAACGATGAGGATCTCAGTGTGCAGCAGGCCATCATTAACAGCTTAATTGATTTGTAGGGCCCGTTGCCCATTCGCTCAGGATTGCGAACAGGGGAGGGGGCCGCCCCGGCAGAAGCAAGGCAGAAGCATAGATAGCCATTGAAGCGATTGAACCCATTGACAGGCCATTTCTGTGCATGCTGGTCCACCCCGTGCGTATGCATGCGTGGTTGCGTATGTGTATAGCATCCTTACTAGCTCTTTTTTTTTCCCCTTTTTTTTTCCTTTTTTTTTCCTTTTTTTTCTCCCCCCTTTTTAATAGAAATTAGTGTTTAATTAGCTGCGCACATGCACTGGCGGTGACGTGTGCACAGCGAACCTCTTTCCAAAGAGACCAACTGGGCCCACCAGCCCCACGAGCGCAGGGAGTACAGAGTTGCAGTTACTGCACGGAGTCGAAGCAGAGAGGTTGTGTTCACGGGGGGGTGTCTGCGGGCGTGGTAGTGGGCCCCCCACCCCACCGTTTTTCCATTTTTCATTTAATTCGTTTTAACAGCGGTAGGAGGTAGTCGTGTGTAGCAGTGGTCCGCATTAGTGGATGCGGATTGTTTTGCTTAAAAAGGGTGCGCCGTTAAGAGCGGGATGGGTCTGCCATTGGCTTGTACATAATTGTTTTCCGCTTCTCCCGCAGGTGCTATCTTGTTTGTCATATAAAATTGGGTATCATGTTGCCTGCAAATGGGGGGGAGGTGGCACGGGGGGAGCGAGTCCAGTGAGTCGAGAGAGCCGAGTGGGAGGCACAGAACTGGTGTGGCTGCGCGAAGAAGCCAACTACTTCTCTCTTCTAGCCTGTCCGCCTTACCCTCGGAAGAGAAGAAGCCCTCCTCAGAGTAGTACTTGAGGATGTCCCTGCAGGTGACGTAGGGAGAAGTCCTGTCCGGGACGAGGGGGGTCTCCTCATATTTAGAGATGAGGATATTCTTAAAGGAAAAGAGAATCTCCATTTTGCGAAGGATTATATATCTGAGTATCTGTGCATGGATGGCATAAATGACGTACAGAAGGATGTGTAGAATGAAGAGTCCAATTATGAAATAATTCGTCTTGGTCAAGAGAATCTGCGTCCCTTTGAAGAGAGTAAGGACTATGATATTCACCCATGTGAAGCCATTTATGTTGTCTATGAGGAGAATATTGTTCAGGATGTTTTTTCCGAATAGAAGGGTGTTGAGGTTGACCGGTGCGTAGGCATACTTGCATAGGAGGAAGAGGAGGTAGACGCTCACGGAGTGCCTCAGCTGGTTGCGCCTGCCGTTGCGCGCTGCGGGGGTGAGGAGTAAGGAAGCGGCGTTAGTAAGCCTCGTTAGTAAGCATCGTTAGTAAGCGACGTTAGTAAGCGGCGTGATGGGGCGTCAGGAAGTGGTGTGAGTAAGCCCTACAAAATTGCGCTACACCTATGCGCTGCCAATATGGGGTGCGGCTCCCGCTCGCATACCTCGGCTCAGGCTCCTCCGGTAGTAGACGTACCTACAGTTTAACAACACGCGTAGGAAGAGAGAAGCGTGCTTGCAGAGGGACGCGAACTGCTGCAAGTTTAGAAGCAGCAGCATCAGATATTCGAACTTGTAGTTGAGCTTGCGAATTTGGCCAGAGTGAAAAATATAATCGCCATTGTACAGATTCCCATGGAAGGTAAAAAAGAATAGAACAAACTGTTTTAGAGAAAAATAAAAAGATAAGTGACTCAACGTGTTTACTATGGCCCCAAAGAGGATGTCGAAAAAGGTGGAGGTACCCAAGAGAAGAACAAAATAAAGGAAGAAGAATCCAAGGCAACCATACATATATATTTTGTCCAGCTTAAAAATATGCTCCCATGTAGAATTGAATAGATTATCTGGCATCTCTAATTGGACATATCCTTTGGGAAAATACGTCCGATTAGAGAACTGTCTCGAGTTGTCTTCCATGTCTTTGTTTATATAATGTATAGGAATGGGTTCTTTTGGGAGTTGCAAATGTGTGTACTTCGTCACATCGAAGCTGTCTGGGAAAGTGAGGCTGTCTCCCCGACCCACCCCAGGAGATCCCAACGGTTTTACCGGCATTTGGTACATATATACAAAATCGTGGTCACTGACTCGTATGTGATTATTCAATAAGAGGAAGATAAAAAAGATGGTGATCCCGATTCTCATTACATAGTTAAGGAAAACAAGGAAGATGAGTCGGAGATTGGTGAAGTAGGAAAAGACCAGCTGATCATCTAAATAGACGAAGTTAGAACTGCCAAATCGTTTGAAAAATAAAGTACACATAGCTCGGATATGATCCCATAGCTTGAAATGATATATCGGTATATTCCTTTTGTACTTTAATTTATAAATCAGATTTTTGAACTTTCTAAATTGACTCCTCATTTGTCTTCGTTCTTTCCAGGTGAATTTCGCTGCTGAAATTTTTTTGCTCTTCTCTGTTTTCCCTCCACTTTGGGGTTCTCCACCTTTCCCCTTCTCTGTGTATTCCTCTCCGTCATTGTCTATGACCTTTCCGAGGGGGACGATACTTCCCCGACTGACCCTTTCGCTATTTGGGTTTAGCCCCATTTCCTGTAGGGCGGCTTTCTCTAACAGCAGCTTCTTTTTGTTCTCCTTAAATTCTTCCTTGAACACCTGCATGACGGTGTTTTTTTTTTTTTTCTTCCTCTTCTTCGACGACTTGTCGGCTTTTTCTCTGTCCCTCTTTGTTTTCTCCCTTTTGGTTCCCCTTTTGGTGTTCCCCTTTTTCACCTTGCGCGAACGTTGGTCCCTCTTGCTTTTCGCCTCGGCTCCGTCTTCCGGAACTTGGCCATACGGAGTTCCTTGGAATGATGGGAGTTTCATCCTACTCCCCCGCTGCGGATGGCGATGTGCATGTTGCTGTCCATGCCGATTCTCACGCCCCTTCTCCCTCACCGTGGCGTCCCCCTCTGGGTAGCCACTCGTCTTCGAATCTACGCTGAACAGATTGTAGAAGTCAAAATCGAGGTTGCTCTTGTTATTCTTGTACTTCTCCTTTTCCACGAGGCGGTACTCGTTTAGCTTGTACGATCGGAACAGCAGGAACAGGACGTTCTTCACGATGAGTGTCAGCATGATTTTGTGCTTCAGGCAGAAGAGCAGTCTGCGGTGAGTAGGAAGCGGTGAGTGTAATAAAGCGGTGAGTAGGAAGCGGTGTTTATGGAAGATTATCGACCGCGCTGAAGCATCGCTGCTACTACCCTCGCGGGGCGCCTACCTGTATACGAAAAAGGGCACGTCGATGAGGAGGAACCCCACGATGAAGTGAAACTTGGCCGTTATGTACACATCCGTGTAGACGTCCTTATATTTCTGGTGGTAGGACTTATTCGATTTGGCCTTGTTCTCACTGGAGGAGAAGGACAGGAAGGATGGCAGGTACGACGAGGAGGACGTCGAGGAGGTGAACGACGCTGAGTGAGAAGAGCCAAAGTTAGAGCCATCTGATGATAAATAGGATGAATTGAGAGACGACGACGAGAAAGACAAGGTCGAGAAAGACGATGAGGAAAATTCTCTTGAGGGTAACTCCTTAGACATATCGGATGAGGCGTATGTGGAATCCTTTGAATTGTACGAAACCAAAGGGGAGTGGTTCCTTTTGTCCATCACCCCCACGTTTGTATCATTCTCCGAGTATAACAACTTAGAAGTGGTGTTTGTCTTCATGTACCTGACGTTGGACTGATCCAAAAAGGATAGATTCGTCCCATTTCGCACATTTGCTGGATTCATTACCGTAGTTATTCTCTCACTGCGAACACTGCTGTGGCTTCCGCTTTGATCATGTGTACTGTTTCCTCGGCTGAGAAGGCTCCCTGCAGTACTCCGTCCACTCGAGCTGCTTCTACCCCCAGCACTTCTCCGAATTGCTGTGCTACCACTTCTTCTAATTCCCGTGCTTCCACTTCTCCCGATTGCGATGCTACCACTCCTCCCCATTGCGATGCTTCCACTTCTCCCATTTGCGATGCTACCACTTCCCCCATTGGTGGCGTAAAACAAATTATCCTTCTTCCTCTCCGCCGTTTCGTACTTTCCATATGAGTCACTTTGGTAAATACGCTTCTTCTGTTTCACGATTCTGCTATGCTTCGTTTTCTTTCCATCTCGTTTGGTACCTTTGTCCCTCAATCGGCCCCCTCCTTCCTCAGGAGGAGGCCTGTCCCCCTTGAGCATCCCCACCGACTCCTGTGTGTAAGAGTACGACTTGTCTATATTAGTATAAATAGGGAAGTAAAATCCGAAGAGAGAAATATCCACCAAAACGAGAAGAAGCATTATAAGTACATTTTGGAAGCGATACATCTTCATATGATCGAATATTTTGTACAGGTTTGTCAAATGAGAATACATGAAAATCAAGTCAATCAGATCGAAGAGGTTTATTATGTTGACGTCAATACTGAGGATGTTTTCTACGACTATTTTGTTGTTCAGGATATTCTCCAAAATGTTTCTACTTCTGAGAGAGAACAGGAGATAAATGAATGGAGTCAAATAGATCAAGTTGTAGACCAACACATCATTGGATAGATATGTGAAAAAAAGGCCATTTTGGTCACCATTTTGGTGGCTGTATTTTTTTTCATTTTTGATGAGAAAAGAGAATATGGCCATTTTTGAACTCAAAGTAATCATGTACATCATCCACTGGATGGATATTTTCACCCCTGCGTTGTTTTCATCGTAAAGGCTCAGCACAATGTACACGCATAGGAAGACATCCACGATGAGGAACAGCAAGTAGAGGTTGTTGCTTTTCGCGCTGCTCAGGATTGCGTAGAGAAGGCAGATCTGCTGAGTGGCCAACAGGAATACGGTGAACAAGACGTTCACGATTTCGTCTTTTTTGTTTATCCTCATTTTGGGGTATGTCACAGGGGGGAATGGGAGGCGGCTCCGCTGGGGGGTATGTCAGCGTGCTCTGAGAATTTTCCCAGTGGATGTACTCTGTAGAGGCGTCCCCGTAAGGGCTACTTCCTACATAGCATGCCTCCGCGCGGTTCCCAAACGCGCCAACAGAAAATGGTTCTTACAAGCCATAGCAACTACGCCCCTCCCGTCTAGTCTAATGCTGCACAGAGAAGAAGTTGCAATATTCTACTTGAGAAGGGGGGCGGGGCGCAGTTAACAGCGTCTCTCGGCATGGCTTCATCGGGGAGGAACCCTTGGACGGACAGGCAGGTAAGTTGGCAACACTGCTCCGCGGAAGTGCGCAGCCGATCGCGCAGTCAAGGGGGGAAATCCGCGGGCATATTAGGAGCAAAATGTGCGAACTGTTCCAAGTACATGAAATGGAAAAAATGGATATTTGCTGTCACGAGACAATCGAGTTTGTTTTCTCGCCCAGCTGCCCCAAATTATGCACACAAACGGGAGCAGAAGGAACGGGTAAGGACCTTATTCCCCTACTTGACAAAATTAAAAAAATGAACATGGATCGCCTTTTGCGATCATTCACTGTAGCGCCATTTTTAAGTTAACGTTTTGCCCGCATGGATTGTCCAAAAAAACTCGTTGAAGTGTGTTTTACAAATTGCCACTTTTTTTTTTTTCTTCTTCTTCCATTTGGAGTCTCGTCCCCATTGGAAAATCCTCTGCTGAGGTTTGGAAAATTGGGGAAACGAGTTACCCTTAGCTCGGCTGGGGTGTCCACGAATTGGATTTTTTCCCTGCTCGTTTGATTTTTATTGCATACCTGCTTTGTGCGATTTTGTTCCTTTTACCATTTCTGCCAATTGGGGAATTTTTCAAATCTGCATGCTTCGTGTGGCTATCTGAATGGATACCTGTTTTGTTTTTTTTTCTATTTTTTTCTATTTTTTTTTGTTTTTTTTTGTTTTTTTTTGTTTTTTTTGTTTTTTTTGTTTTTTTTGTTCGCGCTCATCCCTGCTTACTCCCGCACGTGTGTACGCCTCGTCCTGTAGATACATAACATTATGCAATCGGCCTGGAGGAAAATGCCGTTCTGCGGGAACAAACAACCTCGCCCGCTACTCTGTGAGCGCTGCGAACGACCACTTTAAGTGTAGCATTTCCAAATAAGAGTTCAAATGAAGAAGTTAAAAAGGTGAAAAATGTTGCAAAAAGACACAAACAGTGCTGCAACACGAAGCGAAATAAGCTAACACCGCTCTTTTGTTTATTCACATTTTTCTTGCCGCATTTTGTTTCCTTACCAACTTTGTCCCGAAAGTGGCATACATGCATGGCATGTTCCCTTTTCATTTGTCTAGTCCCTTCTAAGGACAACCTTTTTGTTTAAATCACAAACTTCTTTTGCTCTTCCCACACGGATGTTTTCTCAGTGTATAGCTGGTGCACAGTACTACCTCATATTGGCGGAAATTTCCAAATGGGTGTATAAACGTGTGCACGTAAGTATATGCTGTCTGGGATAACCCCCGCTTTTTTTTTTTCTTCTTTTTTTGTACTCTTGCCTCGCACAGACGCTTGTGTGAAGAGGCATAAACGGGCGCAAAGCAACCCAACAGGCATAGACACGCAAAAAAAAAGGGAAAAAATAAAAGGAAAAAGCCCCTCCACACAGATACACACGTTAGCGTATTCTGTATACACTACTGCCTGCTGCGCACCTGACTAAGGAGAACCCAATACTCGGAAAAATGAATACAGACTTAACAACCAGGGAAGCCAAAACTGCTGAGGAAAAGTCCCCTCTTGGTAGACTGACCTTTTCCGAGCTGGCCCAACTTTCCGATTATCTAAAACCAGATAGAAGTAACGAAATCTCCTTGTTAGAAGGCAAACCCCAGTTGCCTGCGCAAGACGAAAATTATATGAACAAGTCAGTAAAGGAAAATTTTTTTTTGGAAAATTATGAACTAGCTAGCCAAAATGCACCAAATAGCGAAAAAAAAAAAAATAAAACCGTGTGCAGTGATAAAAGTTCTATAGTGGATAGCTGCTTAGAACAAGCAGATCAAAGTTACAGCCCTTTTAGGAATAAACTCATTGATGAAGAAGAGAATAACCATTTGAAGCCTGCAAAGTGGTACGTGTCGGACGGACATGACTCCATCCAAGGGAAAGAAAATTTACCAAACGGTGAGTCACACGTGAACAGTCCGCTGATAGGAGAACAAAATGTGATGGCGCAAAACGATCAACATGCGAATAATAACCTCTCAAGCAATTCCACGCGCATAGACAGTTCCGATGTTTTTTTCCCAACAAAGGAGAATGGGAATATTGTCAAGAAGGAATGCGCCTCATATTCGCAGAGCATAAGTAACAGCCGAAAGTGTGAATGCAATGAGAATGGTAAAACGGGCCAATGGGGAAGCGGCAACGACGGGCCAAAGGCGGACGTCCCGCTTGGGCGGAGGATAAGCGGATTAAGTCTTTCGGGAGGAAGTGCATTGGGGGAGAGGGGCGAAGAGGTGGGAGAAGAAGAAGTCGATGGTGACGACATAGATGGTGACGACGTCCGCGGTGATGAAGAAGGAGAACAGGAGGAGGACAAGGAAGAGAAACAAGCGGAACGTGAAAAAAGCGGGAATGATCAAATTGAGGCGGATCAGCGTGAAGATGATCAAAGCGGTGACGAAGGAGGCGGAGACGAAGGAAGCGATGATGAACGAAGCGGTGACGAACAAAGCAATGGAGACGAACGCGATGAAGACCAACGTGATGAAGATCAACGTAAGGACGAAGAAGCAGACATATCCATCGATCCCACAACCACAAAGGAAAAGCGGCCTAGTCAAGGAAGCAGACGCAAGAACCACCGCGCTGTCTACACAAGAAGGGAGGAACAAACTGCAATAGAGAAAAAAGGCTTGTCCATGGAAAAGACGAACAAGTATAAAGACAATTTGAATTTATTTAATGAAGTTTTAAAGCACAAAAGTGAGTTAAGCTATTTTCATCAAAAGATGATGGAGGATGAGCAGGGTAAGCGGCTGGGTGAGAAGGAGGGTCAGAAGAAGCAGCAGGATGACCGGAAGGAGAATCATCGCGTAAGAGGAGACGTACAGGTGAATAACGATTACCACTATCACGAACGCATGAGGAGTAGCAATGTAGTCAAATTAGGACAAAACCGAAATGTGCATCTGTGGAATAGTAGTTGTCCTAATGGTGGATCCTTTTCAGGCAAGTATGATGTGGCGCAGCTGGGCGTGAGGTATAATAATAGCACGTATAGTGCGATTGATGTGGGTAAAAATTCCTCTTTTGCGGGAGATACCCCCGCAAGCGAAAGCAATGAGGGGAACGGAGACGACATGAATGACACCGTCGGTTCGATCAAATCGGTGGAATTGAGCGGATCGCCAGATTCGCGTGATGGCAGTACCGACAGTTACCTAAGCACCTGCAGCCGCGACCACCTCCTCCAAAAAGGGACCAAAATAAGCGAATTCAACGGAGCGCAAAAGGGAGGCAAAGAAAACAAATCATTACAGAATAAGGCAAACCCGAACTTGTATAGCTATCTAATCCGAGAAAATAAAAAGACACAAGTAGAAAAAGTAGAAATGAAAATAAATGTAACGTTTAAAAATATATACTTCGTAAAATATAAGTACGTCAAATGTGTGGTGACTAACAATTCGGGTGTGATTGTCCACTCATTCATTTTTTGCAAAAACGGCACAGATTTGGATACACAGAATCGGCTTTTTAAAATGTATAATAAGGACAAAGAGAGCTTCGACATGCTGCGTTGTGATGAAGTGCAGATTCTCCTGGAGGAGCTGAAAAAAGGAGCGCAATCAGATGTCACCTTTGAACTCGTGTTCGATGCGCAGGTGGTTAATGGGAGGGTCGAAATATCTTCATCGACGGTGAGAAAGACACACACATGCTCCTTTTGCGTAATCGTCCATTTTATGTTTTTCTATGATTGTCCTTCCTGTTCGTGCCTATATTTTTGAAATGTTCCTCCTTTGGGGCAGTCGCTTCTCCGCATCTCCGCTTCGTCTGCTTAAGTGTGACGGAGGGGCGGCACATGTGTAAGGCATACGTGTGTAGTAGATTCCCCGTGCTGTCCTCATATGAGGTTATCGCCTCTGTACATGCGCACCTTCCTCATACGCAGCTTCCTTCTCCGCGCCAGTTTTACAGGCTAAGTTTCTACGGCGTCCAGGAGGTGCCCCAGAAGGGGGCGCATACAGATGTGAAGGGGACGAAGAGCACAGAGACGAGTGCAAATCTGGCTAAAGAAAAAATGAGTACGGCCGCTAGGAGAATCAGCGGGACGGTCGCGAACGTTGGGGCTGCTAAGGGGAAGAATCTTAGCAGGAAGGTTGCTCACGGGAAGGCAGCCAAGGAGAAGCTTGCCAATGAGCCCCTCAAAGGAGCAACGGACAAATCAGCCAAAAGCATGGGCAAGAACATCGCCAAGCCCGTCACGAAACCGAAGCAGGAAAAAGAAAAGAACTCCTACATAGGATTCACCATATTACACCTTAAGTACCTCTTCCAGATGCAGGAGAAAGGATCCATGCATCTGAACATCTCGAATAATAACAATGAGGAATTCGATTTTGCGAAGAAGTATAGCAAGGAGGAGGAGGAGGAGAAGAAGAAGGGGACGAAGCAGTATGCACACCACTTGGATGGAGAAGCAGCTGAAGAAATGTACTCAAATAATCTCAGCTATGTAGACAGAATAGGGATGCTTTTTAAAATATTATTCGGCCATAGTCTGAACATCTCCTCTCAGAAGATTTTCTTGGAATATCGATTCGCTTCAAATGATGTGAGGGAATGGGATCATTATGAGGGCGACTCCTCTAACAGACACACCGATTTTAAAAGCGCACTGGAAATGGTGCAAAGGGGTAGCGTGTCAAACGATTTAGAAACGAAAAAGAGAGTAGAAGAATGCATGAAGAGTTATCTCAAAAATCGTTCCCAGTATATTTACGACGAAATTACCATTTCGCTACTTGGCTTGCCAGAGAGAAACGGAGAACATAGGGATGAGAGGAGGTACTGTAGGAACGACGAGAAGAGTAAATGTACCTATGGAACACCCCCTCTTTGTAACTCCCCAACCGAGGAAACCATTCAGGGTTCTTTCTCCAAAGGTGGGAATGGTCCTTACATAGTGCGTAGCGTTGCTAGTAGGGAGGGAATCCCATACAGAGAGGGAAGTAAACTCTCCATCGGGGGATGGGACCAACATGAAGAAGAGATAAGACTAAGACGCTCTATCGATCGAATTTCAGAGGCATGTCTTCCCGACTCGTGCGAAACATCACAGAGGTTAAAACCTCATCTGGTGAATCTATTGAAATGGCTAGAAAGAAAGAATGAGAGAAACAAAAGGATGGAAACGTTGGAACATATCATACGTAAGTACACCACCGGATTCAATGACTACCTGGACTTCGTAGAACTCAGCAATATCAATAAGGCATACAAAGTCTATGAAGAGAACAAGAAGCTAAAGGAGTACATAAAAAACTGCAACGGTTTTTTTATCGACACGCTGATGAGGAATCATCAGGAGATAAAAAAATTGAAGCACAGCAATAAGACTGTTAATATATTGTACAATAAGGAAAGAATGAGCAACTTAGCGAGGGGGGGAAACAAGGGGGACTCCTCCGTGGTGGGTGTCCATTCGGATGAGATGGGCGAGCTCGGTGCGATGGGCGAGGTAGATCCGTTAGGCACGATAAACATGCTGGAGCAGCGAAATGACATCTTTGGCAGCATGATAAGTAGGCGATCTATTCCGAATTTGTCCGTCTCTGCCAGCACAGGCAGGAAAGGCAAGAGGGGATGTTCCCCCGTTTGTTCAGACATGACGAGGCAGGATAGTCAAAGAGGGAATTATCATCCCGGTAGAAAATTAGAACCGCTTTTTTCGAAAAGAAACTGCGCCACACCCACGACCGATGGAAGTCGTGAAAGGAAGCGGACTGATCTTCTACCTCGTAAGTCGGATTGGCCGAAGAAGGGGGGCCCGCTGCTACAGGACGTACCAGGAAGGAACACGTACAGTAAGTCATCCCCACAATTCAGCTCATTCGGTGCGTTTTATTCTGGCAACAGTGGGGTGGTTCGAAGCGGTAGAAGCACCCGAAGCGGCGGAAGCGGCGGCGCCTGCGAGCACACCTGTTCGCATTCGTGTCACCTCGAAAGGGGGAAGTCGCGCGGTGGGCGAGCTGCTTCACCAGGAAGTGGCGCCCAAACGGAGCGAAATGGTCCAAACGATAGAAGAGGTCGAAGCGATGGAAGAGATCGAAGCGATCGGAATGGTCCAAATGATCGGAATGGTCCAAATGATCGGAATGGTCCAAATGATCGGAATGGTCCAAATGATCGGAATGGTCCCAATGATCGGAATGGTCCAAATGATCGGAATGGTCCAAATGATCGGAATGATCCAAATGGTCCAATCGATCTAAATGGTCTCAACAATCGAAGCCGCCTGCTGAAGCTCTACTCGAACCCGGTCGGCAGAGCCCTCCTCGCGCGCGCGCCTAAGAAGAAGGAACATAGTGATGCCACCACGAGCAGTCTTGTGAGGAGCTCGAAAGAGACATATCTGCATGCAAATGATAAATGGAGCGCGTGGAGACGTCCAGCTTTTGGGGGGAAAGGTGCACAGGGTAGTAGGAATAGCCATGCGGGGCTAAACGCTCCGTTTGGCTGTGCACAGTCGACTAATCATGAAATAAAGCCAAGACAACCTCTTAGTGCGTTAAACAAGAAAACTGGCACGACTATATGCAACGGAGAATCGATCCATGCTGGTGGCACTGCGAGGAGAAGCCAAAAGGAGAAGTGCCAGTTGGATAAGAGGGGAGTCACCACGAAAGGGACTCGCCACGATGAGGTAAACGACGCTGAGACTGACAACGCTGAGACTGACAACGCTGAGGCAAACCATGCTGGGAACTCCCTCAAGGCGGAATGCCACCCATCGGAAGCGCGCCCCCATTTGTACAGTGAACGATGCCAAGGGGAGGTATCCTCTAAAAGTTGCATAAACGGAAGGGGTTCAAGAGACACCCCTGACGGCGGTGGTAACCAGAGTGCAAGTAACCCTAGGGAGAATCTCCTCAGCAAGACAAAAAACAACTACGACACGAGCGAAGTGTTAAAGAAGGAATACTTCCATAATGAGCAGATGGTCTTAAAGAAGAAGGGGCAGACCTTACCCAATTATTGGGTCAATCTGAGAAGCGGAAAAGGGAAAGGAAAGACAAACGTAGACGAGCGAACGAATAGCAATTCGGGGGGGGGCGAGTTTGGTGAGTCGAAGATGACACATGCAGGGGAGCGTCAAAACGGAGATGTCACAAATTTGAGAGGTGGTAATTCGGGGGCCATTACGGGAAGGAGTACTACTACACGCCTGGGTTCAAATTCCCATAACGTGCATGGAGGGAGAAAAGTAACAGACACGGTACTGCTACTCGGAGCAGCAAACAAAGCAGATCACATGGACAACGTAGATTACAAAAAAAGATACATCGAAAAGGTTATCTCCACGTATGATGATTATATTCCGATGAAGGGGGATCAACGTAGTCAGGGCAGAAAGATATGCACGATTAGTGGTTCATCCGAAAAGGTGGAGTCACCTGGGGGAGACATAAGCGGTGTCACTAACAAGGAAGGGGTGTGTACCCTGAAGAAGAGTCGCCGAAATGATAATGCTATTAAGTCCATAAAAGAAATCATCGACAATAACTTAACGCGAAGAATTAACTTCGATCAGAACAGTATGGAAAAAAAGGCGCTCCTCAGAAATATGCACAACAGTAAGGTAACCTCCAGTGTGTCCCTTGAGGGGGGAAAGGCGGCTGGACGGGAGAGCCATCCGAAGGCTGTCCTGGGGGGAGAAAAACGACGCTCCGCCAACACCAAGGATGCCTACATCCTTGACATTATAAATAAAAATTTGAATAAGTCCTTCAACCAGTTGGACAGGATAAAGAAGAAGATGAGTGAGCATCTCGTCGTGTAGGCGGTGCGAAGCGGGTTAACGGTATGCTTCGTCCGCCCGGTTACTTCTGCTCCGTCTGCCCGGTTACTTCTGCTCCGTCTGCCCGGTTACTTCTGCTGCGTTACTGCCGCTTCGTTACTAGTGCGCCTATTCTACTATTGCTATTGTTTCTGCACTTATTTTTCCATTTTTTGTTCTTGGCCCCCTTTTTCATTCCGCCGTGCCTTCGGCTTCGGCATTTTACACTTCTCACAAAGTGTCTTGTGGCGTGTACGTATGTTGACTTCGACCAACGTTTGTGGCCTACGGAGGGGCGTCGCGGCGGGGATGTGGAGAAGGGGAAGAAAGAGTGCGGTCAGTCGTATGGTCAGTCGTACGCTCAGTCGTACGGTCAGTCGTACGCTCAGTCCTACGCCGTGGGGGATGTTGCACATGTAACGTGGTGTGATGCCAGTTGGGTCACTCAATTGACAGAGCCCCGCTCCCGCCGACTTTCCCCAGGGGAAGGATCCTTTTCCCTACCAATTAGTCAATCCCCCTGCGAGGTTATGCATCTTCTTTGTGGAAGCCCCATCAGGGTGATATTAACGTATACTTTCTCCAGGAGAAGAAAAAAATAAAATAATCAAATAATCAAACAATCCCGATAAGGAAATTTTTATATCCTATTGAAAAGGAAAAAAAAAAGAAAAAAAAGGAAAAAAACAAATATGCCTATTATGCATACGTGAATGTATACCTGCTGTTCTTTCGTTAGAGCTGACGGTGCCACATTGGTGAAACAGTATTTCGCGACATTGCCAAGTCGGATTGGAGGTTTTTTTTTCTTTTTTCTTTCTCTTTTTTTCGCTTTTTTTTTTTTCTTTTTTTTTAACTTGGAACCCCCAGCGCTCAATCGTGCAAGGCGCCAATGAGGAGAAGCGCAAAAATTGGAGAAGAAGCCGAAGAGGTGACATCTCAGAGCAACTGTAAAGAGGTGATATCTCAGAACAGCTGCGTATGGCTGGGGTGCATGGCGGCCGATTGAGAGAGGGGATACATCGTTCCTTTGAGAGAACACAAATTGCAAGAGGACAGGGGATCCCTCGCTCAATTGCAAGCGCAGCGTGTATGTTTACATATGTGTTTATCTGACTACAGTAGTGCCGTTGAGGGGGTATGTGAGGGCGTCCTTTTTTGGACCACTCTGCGTTTTGAACCCGCTTCTCAGGCAAAGGACGATTTTGAAGAAGTCTCAGGAGAGGAGTACCCCCAATTTGAGCTTCTCCAACGCGTGAAGGAGAGAGAGCCACTAAGGGAGGGGCACGCAGAAGACACCCTCCTGTGACCTGCCCACTTTGACTTAGCAAAGTGTAGAAGGCTTCTCCTCTTGGGACCGCTTAGAAATTTGGGTTGTCCCCGATCCATAGCTGCGCTGCGGCTGGAAGAGTGCAGAAGGGGGTGTTAAGTCATTGACACCGTTTTCTTGTCTACCTGGTGGCCGCTAACCCCGCTATCGCCGCTAACACCGCTAACACCGCTGCCCCACCATGGCGCAGTTCCTGATGGAGCAGATCCGCTACATGCACGAGGAGATCGAGATGATGGAGAAGGCAATCGCCGATCTGATTGAAGAGAAGGTGCAGAAGAATAAGAAGAGGAGCATCCGTTATGACTACTCCATCAGTTACCTAGTGGAGAAGATACAGACAAAGTCGAGGTTGCTGCTTCAGTACTACAGGGATGAGGACAATTTGAAGAAGGAGGAGATGCAGTTCATTTCGGGGAAGATGGTGAAAGGTGACAAAGCGGGAAAGGGCCAAGAGGAAGAGGAGGAGAAAGACGAAGCGGAAGAGGACGGGAAAGACGACGAGGAAGAAGATGACTCACACGAACGGAACAACCTGTGGCAAAATTACTACGAACGGGTTAAGTACATCCGAGATTATCACAAAAAAACCAACATAAAAAAAACCGAAATTAGAAACTACAAGGCATACAAATATGAAGCACTGAAGAATAACAGCCTCAAGGAGAGCTTCTCCCCGGTGGAGAGAAAAGGAAAATACGTAGACATGCACAGATTCTACGACCATTTTGTAAACATAAAGAAGGTGAAAAATTTTAGGGTTAGTGTATATCGGAAAAAGGAGTTAGCAAGTCAAAAGAAACGAAACAGTGCAGAGAAGGAGACGGAGAAGGGAAAAAAGAGTTACCCCTCTAAGGGGGGAAAATCCAACGAAGGAGAATTCAAAGAAATGGACTTAGTAACATACCTTCACAATTTCACCCGCTTCTATTACATCCCAAGGTACTGCAAATATCGAAATGAAGAATATAAAAAATACGTGGAGAGTCTATTAGCCTATCTGATGAACTTCTTCTCCAAAGTGAATGTCCTGGTGGATTGCCAGAAAATGCACACACAATATGAGAAGAATTTTGAAACAAAATTTAAAGAGAAAGAGATTAAGGAATGGGAAAAATACACTTACGATTTGGACCTCTACTGTAATGTTAATGACAAACTGTACGCATCGGAGGGGACATTCAATTCGTACAAGAATAGCAAACACTACGATGAGGACTTAAAGAAGTATATGCAGAAAGAGTACAGCGTGGAGCAGCTAGAAGATTTTAAGAGGCAGATCGAACGGGACGACAAAGAGCTAGCCAAATGTGAATACCTCATCGACCTATATAAAAATGTTTTAAATAAAATCTTCCAGAAGACCATTCAGAAGATACAGAGGAAGCAGGCTTTCAGTGTGGACGAACTACAAAAAAGAAAAAAAGCGGAGAAAAGGAATGATCACCTCTTAACTTTACGTGATCGTGGTGGCTCCCACAGCAATGAACAATATGATGAGGGGAATGACTTTCCCCATCTGTACAATTCGCACACCTTTGACCCCTCCTCCGAGGATGATGATGAATCCACAGATTCGTCCGACGGGGGTAGTCTAACCGGTGATGGGAAGAAAAAAAAAAAAGGAAAAGGAGCTGGCGGAGCGGACGAAGCGGACGAAGCAGACACGGAAGACGAAGATGAGGATGAAAAACCTATTTATAACCCCTTGAATCTACCCCTAGGACATGATAATAAGCCCATACCTTACTGGCTTTACAAATTGCACGGGCTGTCAAAGGAGTATACATGCGAAATCTGCGGCAATTACTCCTACTTTGGCAGGGCCCAGTTTGAGAAACACTTCTACGAGTGGAGGCACTCCTTCGGCATGAAGTGCCTGAACATCCCAAACACGCTGCACTTTAAGGAGATCACCAAGATTGACGACGCGCTAAACCTGTATGAGCGGCTGAAGAAGCAGACCCAGATGAACGTCTTCAAGCCGGACCAGGAGGTCGAGTGCGAAGACTCCAAGGGGAACGTCATGAATATGAAGGCCTACGACGATTTGAAGCGCCAAGGGCTGCTCTAGCGGGGGGAGGTGGCGATCATTTGTGCTCACATTTGCACAGCGTTGCCTTCTTTTTTCTCTGCGCATATAAGCAGCTAGCGCAAGAGGCACCATTTTTTTTTTTTTGGACAAAGTATAATCCTACATTGGAGAAGGCGAACTGTTTATTTCCGCCCTCCTCTTAGCGATAAGGAACCCCGTTTGACGTTAACTTCGTTTTGTTAACTTCGTTGTGTTAACTTCGTTGTGTTAACTCTGTTGCGTTAATTTTGTGTGCACACTGGCGATGACGCGTCTTCCTCCGTACGTACATTTGAGGGGGGGTGTCTGTGTGTGCTAACCACGTTTGAGCATCCCTCCGGTTGAAGCGGCGACTCGATGTTGTCCCTGTGTAGAAGTGTGCGGCGGGTCAACATTCGTCGGTTAATCGGTCCTCGCTGGGGGGGGTCCCCCACTGGGAGTGACGCCACCCTCCATAGATGTTTACTTCACCCATTTCTGCGGGTATATGAAGTTACTTCCAAAAACGCCAAACTTTACCTGAACAGGTCATACTTTTTTTTTCCACATGAAATGTTTGTCCCTTTAAGGATACACTTTTTCAAGGGGGTTAAAACTCAGCCGTCCTAAGCAGCTGGCTAGCGGTGGGAGTCCCACCTACCGCCCACCGCCTTCTTTTGTTGACACTTTCCTCGAGGGTTCCTCTGCGGAAAAATGGGTAGACTCTCCAGGGTGTCCAACGTGGCCAACGAGGCTATGGCTACCCTCTCCAAGCTGATCGCGTTTGTTTCCTTCGCTCACTTAGGAGAAGACCTTCCTTGCCTTTTTTGCACCCCTTTACAGCCGACCACACGAAACTGAAACTACTGAAGATAAAAAGTTCCATCGCGATAGGTACGACAGCGCGCAGTTGTGTAGAGGGGTTTATCATTTTTTTTTTCTGTTTTTTTCTCTCTTTTTTTCCCTTTCTTTCTTGTTTTCACCTTCCTGAATGCATCACCGCTGCCTTCTCACATTTCCCTTTTGTCCAATTTCTTCCCAAAGATGAAAGGAACTCCCCCGTTGTGATCGACAGAGAGGGGATGGAAAAGAAGTTGAAATCAACAGAACGGAAAAGGGTACTCCCCGGGGGGATCGTTGTCCCCGTAATGCGGACTTGACTGCTCCCCCTTGGGGGGGGGCGGGATCCTCCATGAAGTGACTATTTTGTTTTCTCTCCTCTGGTGGATCCTCCACACACTGATCATCCGGTGGTGCCGTTTCCATTTGCCTCGACAGAAGAGATACAAACCACGGGTTAAGTGGGACAAGGGGGAGACTGAGCGCCTCATCGACGGGATAAACGTAGGAGGCGGGATGAGCGGCGGGATGAGCGGCGGGATGAGCGGCGGGAGGAGCGGCAGGAGGAGCAGCGGAATGAACTTCCGATCAACATGACGAAGCGGCAGGGGCCGCACTTTAAACCATCGCAGCGGCTTCTCCCGCCGAAAACGTGTATATGGGCTTTTAGACGCACACAGACGTTTTTCTGTGTGCACACGTTGACACGACGATGCTTTCAACTTTTCTCCCCTGCCCCGATAGGAGTACGGATTGTCCAACTGGCGACAAATTATGGAGGCCTATTCATTTTCGGAGAGCAGGTTCTTGCAAAGGAGAGTGATATGGAGTGGGCCCAACGATGAACAGCGCTTTCTCCATCCCAGGCAGAGATGCCTCCGTGGCATCCGATTCTTTCCCCCTCGCCTGCAACCTTTCAACAGAACCAACGTGAGCTTAAAAGATAAATACAGGAACTTCAAGAAGGTGTTTATCATAGAGAAGAACTGACTCGATGATGGAAAAGTAATCATCTTCACAAATCTGACAGAGCAGTGAGGTTACACCTTTATATGTCTGCGTTGATACCTCCGACCCCCACACACAGCGATCTGTATTTTGTCTTCCCACACATGTCCTGTGAACCGTGTTAGTTATTTCTGTACATATCCACGTGCGTGTAAATATTACGCGGAATGGAGGTCGTCACTTGTTGGGCACTACTGCCGACTGTCACGTCTGCATTTGTGCGAAACGGAAAAAGGAGAGAACAAAAAAAGATCATATAGTTGCACGAGAGTTGCATAACTGATGGTGCTATTCTTTTTCCCTCGTGGTGGCAAACTGAGGGGAAATTTTCCCCTTTTGTGTGTTGCTAGGGGTTTTTTTTTTTTCTCTTTTTTTTTTTTTTTTTTTCGTCTACCTTTGCACGTTCTCTTTTTTATTTTTCCAAACGCAAAGTACAAAAGTGAGCCACGTGCTTAACCGACTAGCGAACCACAGAAATGATTACCCCCTCGGAAAAAATGCACAACCTGGAGATAAAGAGACACTCAAGGGGTGATCTGCTTCTCCTGAGGAGCTCCGACCTCCATTCTTGTACAGCAGGAAAATGTCTTTCGCGAGATCGCATCGTTTTGTGCCGCTTTATATTCCTTTCCTCATTTTGCTTTCCGCATTTTGCTTTTTTCACTTTGCTTTTTTCACTTTGCTTTATTTTTTTTTCCCCAGTTCGGAAGATCCAAAGGGATGTAGACGATATGGGCCTCCTGTCTAGCGCGGTAGGGAGCAGCTACGGTTAAGAAGGGACTTTTTCCAGAGCGACTCCTCCCAAAGCGCCTTCTCCAGAAGCTTCGCAAAACAGTGCAAGTCGCTTCGGGGGAGAGGCCACCCCATTTGCGTCATCCCCGAATATTTATGTTCCCCTCATTTTTGTGCACCTCCCTTTAAGGAGCAGCACCTGTCGGGCATTTTAACAACATTAGACAGCGTCACGGATCAGGACAACACTCTATACGTAACTGCAAATATGTGTATCACTTGAGTGTCTCTTTTTGTATCTCCAATTTAGTGAGCCTTAACAGGAGGGAGATTACTCAAGGGATACTATCCTGCCAAACATGTCCTGCTCGTTTTTTTCCCCATCAGTGTTTAACACAACAAGGTGAACTAATCGGGATGTTAAAGGTGGGGAAAAAATGGTTTAATGATGATTTTTTTTTTTTCTTTATTTTTTTTTTCTTTTTTCTCCCCCCTTTCACCGCTAAACCAGTTCAATGATAGATGCACCTCTCCCACATTTCGCCTCTATTTCTTCATCAGATTGGTACAAAACGGCTGTACTTATATAACGGGAAAGACTTACACTGCGGGAGCTGTACGTGTTTATTGGGTAACAACGTAAAGGAGAGTTCAGAGTGGCGACTTGAGGGAACACACGTTCTGTTGGTGACACCCCGCCGGTTGCAGTGGTGGCAATGATGGCTGTAGTCGTAGTGGTCGCGGTGGTGGCAAAGGTGTATGTCCACACGTTACCTACCCATCTGCTTCGATATCTGTTCTACCCTCCCTTTCCTCCTGATGTAGATTTTTACATACAGAGAGACTTCCGGAAGAGGGGCCTTGGGCTTGTTAGTACGACCCCCACCCATGTGGAAAGAAAAGAAATGAACGTGGAAAAGGGGGTGAATGTGTTAATAGCGGTGGATGGGTTAATAAGGGCTGATGTGCTAATAACTCCTGATGTGTTAATAACCGCTGGTGTGTTCATAACGGCGAATGCACAGATGGGACAAGTGCCTCCCCCCTATGTGCACCTGCGCGGGAAGAGGCGTGCAGATGTCTGTCCATTTGGTGACCCCCCTTTCGCGCTGACTTCCATTTTATAGGAACTCTTTAACTTTATGCTGAGAGACAAGGCCATTTCCCCATCCAGATTATGGTAAGCATGAACGAGGGTGTTTTCTTCCCAGTTGTCCCACCCGACTGAGACTTTTCCGTCTTCCTTTTTCATGCCGGCAAGTGTATTCCGGAAGTCTTCCCTTGGATTTGCTCCTTATGTGCCTATACACATCGACGCATGAACAAAGTGTTTTTTTTTTTTTTTTTTTTTTTCTCCCCACGGGAACGCAGCTACGATAACCCATCCTACAAATTGCGGAGCTTCTTGAAGAAGCACTTCTCCCCGTGCGTGCTGATCAGGCAGGTTCGGATGTGGGCCCCGTTTTGTTTCTACAAGTGCATAGGCATGTAGGTGTATTTGCATATATCTGCAATTAGGCATATTTATATATATATGTTTTTTTTTCTTTTTTTCCGCGAAGCCGAACAATTTCGTCATCTTTGCGGAGTACTTTGGCGAACCGGAAGCCGCCCCCTTCCAGCATCAGCGTCGGTGAGGGTAATATTCGGCACTGTCCCTTTTGGAGACTGGGAATGGGGCGCACTAAAGGGAAATTCTCCTTGCCGCCCCTTGGACTGATCGCGTAGAGCAGCCCGTTCCGACCATTCCGCTCTAACAAAAGACTTTATCCAGAACTCTCCTTTGTGGGAAAAAAAAAAAAAAAAAACGCAAGACAGATAGACATCCCTTTTGGGCGAAGCGAGAACTCACATTTTGGTTATCCACCTGGTCTACATTCTTAGCTGTCGCATAACCGGAGCAGTTATTTAAATTTCCCTCCTCTTTACATTTGACTGGAATGCATGTCGTGTATTTCGTTCGTCCGTTCGTTCGTTCCTTCCTTTTTTTTTTTTTTTTTCCTCCTTGGGAAGCGTCTTTTCTCATGTTCTTATCCGTGCTAGCCATTTGTGCTCCTTTGCCCCATGGACATGCGGGGGAAACATGTAACCCTCGCTGAGCAGAGGTGACTTCCTCTCGTCAGTGCGTTTCCAGGTTGGCCCAACATTGGAGCACACCGTGCTGTAGCGAAATAATCGCGCCTAAGTTTGTGAAGACTGTAAGATGGGGCCAAAGGGGAAAAAGAATTCTGACTCGGCCAAGGCGGGAAATTTATCCGCACATGAGAAATTTGTGAGAAAAAAAAAAAATTATATATATATACACATATATACAAACGTGTAGAAGCATATACAAACATATGTAAAGACAAATGTGCACGTAGCCAATGTGCACGTAGCCAATGTGCATGCAGCCAATGTGCATGCAGCCAATGCGCAAAGCCCCAACCGCTGCGCCATGCAACGCACCTTTGGCCTCATTCTCGTCTAACGATCATTCTTTGGCCGCACCCAAAAAAGGACCAGCTAATCGATGAATACTACTCCGACTTGAAAGACGATCGCAAAAAAGAAGAATACCAGTCCAGGTGCACACGGGGGGATCACGTTTTTAAATCAGTGGAGAGGGACAAAGCTGACTACGCGGTTAAAAAAATGAAGACAACATCCAGTTCGTGGCAGACCGCCATCTGCTCGGTCCATGCGTAGGACACTTCAAAAATATCACCCGTGCGTATGCTGTTGACGCTACCCCCCCCCCCCTTTCAACAGAGACTGGATGAGAACGAGGAACCTCCACCTTTTACTGACTTGGTTCCAAATGGTATTCCGCCGTGGCTAACAGATGTGCGTTTGAAAGAGCCACTCCTGTGATCCTTTTTTTGTAAACTCTCGATCGCGTCGTTCTACTCATATTCACCACTTCCATGCACAACTTCCATCCGAGCAGAGTCGAAAATCGGCACCGTGAAGATCACCAACCCTTTGCCCAAAGTAGAGCGGGTAATATTTCTTCCCGGGTGGGGGGGCACCGATGGGCATGAAAAATGGGGCAACTGCAATCCCTTACAGGGAAAGACGCCACCCACAGGGCATGGCACCACCCATGTGGCAGTTATTCCCAGTTATGCAATATGGCCTCTAATCTACCCCTCGAGGAAATGAAACATTTCAACCCTTTCAGCGAGACCAACTGAAGGAGGGCTACATGCAGTGGCTGACGACGGAGAAACTGATGGTAAGGCTGGTTTGTTCGTTGCCCATTCGGGAGTAGAGCAGCATCACGCATTGTTAAGCGGCACCATGTGTCGTTCGTGGCACCACGTATCGTTTCGTAGCACCATGTATCGTTTCGCTGCATTGTCTAACTTCTCCCTTTGTTTTCCCCACGCCCCCCCGAAAAAAAAGAGACCAAATGAAAGAAGACTAGAATACGAACAGATGCAGGAGAAATACTTAGAAGTAATAAACAAACCCTCGAAAAAAAAAAAGAAAAAATTGCGTAAAGTACCATCCACTGTGTTGTAAAGTGTGTGAATGCATATCTCGCCATTCGCCTTCCCTTGTCAGACGTTAAAATTATCGGAAGATATAAAAAAGGATGTGAAGCTCGCGCGAGTTGTTAAGTCGCATTACCCTAGAGGAATAGTTGGTTATCTGAGCATTTCATTTGGATCATTTAATAGGCAGAAGGTGTCAGCACAAATGGGGGGAGAAATGACACAAGGGGTGCTGAACATCCTGAAATGGTCACACTGTTGATGGGCTTTGTGCTGATCAAAGATAACTACGCCATAGTGGGGAACGCAAAATAGAGTGCGGCAAAAATATAATGTAATATTTTTTTTTTTTTTTTTTTTTCTTTTTTGGGGGATAAGGCGTCGATTCCATATACAGTGAAAACACTGAGCTGTACAAGGACAAATATGAGGAGCTTAAAAGTAGGCAGGAAGTTCGGGCGAAGAAAATGAAAGCACGTGAAGAAGGTATCGGCTTAGTCTTTTCTTACACAAAATAGTTTACATAAAATATTTTACATAAAATCGAATTTCACCGCGTTCCCCCTTTGTTTATTTTTCGCCCCCCCTTTTGTTCAGCCCTGGAGCGGCAAAACAACAGGAATGGGAACTTCCTGACGTTCGAAGCAGACAATATGTGAAGCTCCCGCGAATTGGGCAGGGCAGAGCTGCTACGTTGAGGCTGCTTTGTGGCTGCTTTCTTACTAGCCCCCTTCTCTTTTTTTTTTTTTTTAAGGTAGCCAAACAGCGGTTTCGGCAAACTTTCGAGGTTTTTTACCTGAACAGTTCATGCACTTTTTTAAGCATTCCCAACTGTGTATGGAGAGCAGCAAAAACGCCTACGCCATTTCGGAAATTCTCCCGTAAAAAAAAAAAATTAATTCGATAAATTGCACACTTTACAATTTACGCAGATTTTTCTGTTTTGATTCGTAACGGTGTAGCCAAAAGGGAAATAAAAACGGTGTAAAAGTGAAAAAATTACGGCAAGGTGGAGGAGATAGACACAATATCAAAAAAAAGGAGTTAAAAAGAAAAAAAATAAAATATACGTACGTACACGCATATGCGTAGGTGGAAGGAGAAGTGGATGCGCTTTTCCACTTCGGTGAAGCTAAAAGGTGAGTTTTCTCCTGATCTACCTGCGCAGGGAATTGTGGACACGTCACAAAGTAATTAGCGCGTCCAGCGGCACGCTTCTTCATCTGTGTTATTCAGTTCCATAAAGATTTCAAAACGCAGTTTGACATCATCTTAAAGTGGCTTTCCCACGTAGCAAACTTCTCTCGCGAAAATGGATCCACTTTGCACATATCTTTGGGCCACCCATGCGATTGCCGTGCTTTGCCGCACGCTCCCTGTACAGATCGCTCAGCCGCAACCTAGCTGAGTGGGCTAGCCCCCCCATCAAAAGGGCAATCACAACGCGCAGCACCCCTCATGTCACAAACCTATTTTGTGGTGAAAAAAATTCTCTCCTCGGATGCCCCCGCAATTGGTTATTACTGTACAGGGTAAAACCTGGTTGTCAAGGGCAAGACAGAATTCGGAACGAATAGGCGTCACGTCCCTTTCGATTGATTGCGGGGAGTACTATGGACGACGCTGCTTATACCCGCATTGCTTATACCCGCATTGCTTATGCCCCCACTGGTTATGCCCCCGCTTGGTAAGCCCCTGTCTGGTATGGCCCCGTTTGGTATGGCCCCGAAGGGAACCCCCCCAAATGGTAGGCCCCCATCTGGTGAGGAATAACATGGTATGGATCCTTATCTTCGGGCAACCTATTGGCAGGGTAGGCGTTCATGCCGCCATTATAGAAAGCGTTAGAAGTTGCATTTCCGTAGGGGGCTTTATTCAAATGTGGACTCTCCGTCCCTGCGAAGGTAACGTTGTTTCCGTATAAGCCGCTGCTGTTGTTGTTGGGTAGTACCCACGCGGAGGTATACTGCCTTCTGTAGGTCTCGTCCAAGCTGTCATCAACAAAGGTGCCACCACTCAGTGGCTGATTAGTTCCCAACCCGTGTGCATTACCTTCTACACTTTTGACGCTGTAGTGAGTGTATGGAAGATGGTGAGGCGGGACTTCAAACGCTTTACTCTGTTGACTGGGCACTGCAGGAGGAGGAGACCTCTCATCCTTTTGTATAATCGGAATGGTCACATGTTTTAATATATAGCCTTCTATCACTTGTGTTTTCTTCGATGGGTCATCATTATCTTGCGTGTGGTTGTCCTTGTGGTTGTGCGTGTGCATCTGCGTGGGCGTAACAACTTCTTTGATTAACTTCCCACCAACGGGTATTACGGCGCCATGTCTCAAATCGTCATTTTTGTATTCCGCTGAATTTGTTTCATGCCCCGTTTGTGCCTGTGTTTGCGTTTGTGTCTTCTTTTCACTTGACTTTGACTTGGCCAACTTCATCCGCTTCTCCCTTTTGAGGTTATTTATGTGTAGGTAGTAAAATAGCAGGAAATTAACGGTGGCAAATAATCGGACAATTAAAAACAGTTTGCTAAACTCATCATCCACTACATGCCCAAAGGAGGAGTTCTTATATTCGTATATTTCCGCTAAAGATATGACGATCACTAGAAAGAAGGAGGTGTACATTAATCCGGCGGATGCCAAGGAGATGGACACTATAGTCGTGATTACCAGGACGAAGAGCATAACATAGTCCATTTTGGAGGAGAAGATAAAAATGATTTCAAAGCTGTACAATCCGAAGTAGAAGAAGTAACACATGTAGAAGAGCAAGCTAATTATGAAGCTCGAGCAGGCTGGTTTCGGGTTCTCCATTTTGTCGCGGGGGTGAAGGGGTGGTGTAATGGCTCGTCGCGATGTGCAGCTCGCGTCTGTGTACGCCCGCGCTTGTGTCCGCGGGGTTGGTTGTTCAAAACAATTGCACGGATCCCGCGGTTCGCGCGGTTGCTACTTGGCGAGTCACCTTCGTTGGGGGTGCAGCCTAATTGGTTGTAAATTAATCCGATTTGGTGTAGCTTAATTTTTTTTTCGAATGGTACTTTTTTATTTGTTCCTGTAAAGTGAAGTCGTTTTTTTAAGTGAAGTTTTTTTTTTGCACTTTTTTTTCCTCTCTTTTTAACTGTCTCTTGCTTCTCTTTCTCCCTTTTTTTGGCTCTTTTCTTTGCCCTATTTTTTTTCCTCTCTTTTTTTCCTTTTTTGCTTCTCTCCAGTCGTCCTCCCTCACGAGCAGTTTTAACCCCACGGTTGGCACAACATCCAGGCGGTTTTTGCGCCGTTCCGCAAAAGTGAGCAGGCGGAGAGAACAAACGCGCGAAAAAGTTAAGAAGTGGACAAAGGGAAAAAATGGGGAAGCAACAAAAAAGCGAATTGAACCAAATAAATACAAATAAAAGCAAGCTGGAACGAAATGGAACAAGCTGGAACGAAATGGAACAAGCTGGAACGAAATGGAACAAGCTGGAACGAAATGGAACAAGCTGGAACGAAA